TTGTTTTTAATACAGAATCAGTTCTTTTAATTATTACAGTACGTTATACTTGAGTGAAGCACTTTGGATCTCTCCCAGTCATTAGGCCTAAAATTAATGACTGATAATTGCGGCTACGTAGTTGGATCAGTAGCACAGTTAACTGCTTAACAGAGATAGTCAGTCAATGTTAAATGGATAGTATATGGTGTATATAATTGTAAAATACAGGCAAGGCAATCTTAAGCATATGCAGAGATTTAAGTTTTTTCACAGAGACTCAAATTTTACACGCTGTATCTTCCTGATACAGTGATGCACAGTGTCTTCCAATTCTGTTTAAACTTTTCTCTTAAGAGACGACTTATATGGGCTTTTCAGTACCAAAGCAGGCCTTGATTGTTGGATGCAGTCTGTGAACTTAGTGTGAGAGGTGTGTGCTTTGCTGAAGTAAGGTCTTATTTATTTGATAACACATGATAAATGCATGCTGCTCATCACACTCATTGATAGAAACATTGAATTTCAGATTAAAAAAGGAACTAAAACACTGGAAAATAAATATGTTTCTTTGATGAACAAAGTATTAATGTATTTGAAGTAAATGGAAACTTCAGGAGTATAGAATAATGGGAAGACACTGGCAATTCCTGTCTGACAGTGGCCACATCAGTGGTCTGTAATCTGCTGCAGTGCAAAATACCTTGTACTGGATGAATTTGGCATAGTCAGGCTGCAGAGGATGTTTTTTTTCTATTTTTCTTGGTTTTAATTGGTCTTTGTTTTTTAACCTTTATGTAAATGTGATATCCACTGTTTGGAATGCCTTTTGACTCCTGTGGATCTATTGATCTCTGTGTCTTGAGCAGCAAGGTTCAAGATACACTAGTGTTATGTGAAAGGCAGGAATATTTCCATTTATTAAATGGCCCAGTTTTTAATGTCACTGAATTGCAGGTGTTTGGTAGAAGGAGTGAATGAGAAAGTTTGGTTTATCATCCCTATGTTGTCCTTTTTCCATGTGCTTCTAAGTTTTTGCTTCCATTTTTTTTTCAAAACTACTAAGGCCTCTAACTTTTTTTTTAATTTCTCCTAATTTAGGTACCTTATTGTATTTCAAAGTATTTTCACAAACTTTTTCTGAATCCATTCCTGTGAAGACAGCGACTGGAATTGATTTTAACACTCCTAGTATCTCTTACTCTATTCTTCATCTATCCTGTTCTTGTGTTTGTCATTCAGACTCCATGTAGACTTTCAGGTCTTCCTTTAATGATATCTTTGGATTGGTCTGTGTGCTCTGCATTTGATTGTAACTTGAAAAATCGAGTATGTATGTTTTAATTAAATCTTCTGAAGTATCTCTCTGCTAACACTTTAAATATGAAAACAAATCTTCCCACCGTTTGTATGGAGTGAATGGATGCTGGATGACACCGCCTCTCTGTGTACCTTGATGGTCTCATTTTTCTGAAGTAACCAGAAAAAGCAAATTTTTTTTTAATATAAGAATGAAATTACAGTGTACTTTTGGGCTTGTTTTATCCAATATAATGATGAAGTGGAACTGGTTGCATCAAAACTTTTCTTGTTAACTATTCAGCGTTCAGGAAAGGCTGGTGAAAAAATAGCTAGGGAGACAACAGTGGTGTTGCTTCAGCATCACATGGTTATTCAGTTCTTTTTCACCTGGTACTGAGTCTGGCTGAGATGGAGTTAAATTTCTTCATAGCAGCCTGTATGGTGCTGTGTTTTGGATCTGTGGCTAAAACTGTTGATAGCACAGCAGTGTTTTGTCTGTTGCTGAACAGTGTTTGCACAATGTCAAGGTTTTCTTTCTCTCCCCCTCTCTGCCTCCACTGCAGTGAGTAGGCATGGGGTGGGCAAGAGATTGGAAGGGCACGCTGCTGGGACAGCTGACCACAATTGGTCAAGGGGATAGTCCATACCATATAACATCATGCTCAGCAATGAAAACTGGAAGTAGAGGAAGAAGAATGGGAGAGGGGGGTTGGCTTCCAAGGTGGCTGTTTCTCAGGGACTGGCCAGGCATCAGTCTGCTTGTGGAAGGTGGTGAGTGATTTCCTTTGCATCACCTCCCTGTGTCTTTCCTTCATCTATTAAACTGCCTTTGTCCTGACCCATAAGCTTTGCTCTTTTACTCCAGTTCACTCCACTTCCTACTCAGGGAGGGGTGGGGAGCCAGTGAGCAGCTGTGTGGCTGCTTGGCTGCTGGCTACATCTGAAATGCAGTCACAGTAACTCCAACAACATTCGAAACCAGGATTCTAGCAACATGATATTTGTCACAGGTCTGAATGAAAGCTTGGTTTTGGGGTTATATACCTATTTGTTTTCACTTTCATATTTAAAGCTATTTGAGTTAGGAAATTTTAGAAGGATTACTAGCCTGTTCTTTGAATTACCTTTGTTAAATTCTTCTAGTGTCCTCTTGGACTGAGCAACCCAGATCTGTCTGGTAAATTGAAGCATTCTTAAAGTGTTTGACAGTGTTTTTTGTACTTTCTTGCTCTTTAAAAGTGGTGGATCCTTTTTCATGTTGTCCCATAAGGTGAAGTTTACAGTGTTAAAAATTTAAGAAAACTCTCCATGTCTTTAATACTGTTTTTTGTGGTCAAGGATGTTGACGGCATGAAGTGCTCAATGCTTATCTTTTGGTCAGTTCATATGGAATGCAGTTTCAGCAGCAATGGATAGCTGTTAACAGCAAAAAAAGGCAAATATTGATCTAACTTCACCCTTTCCTTTCAAATGCAATTTTATTTCTTTCTTAAAGCTGTATAGAAATCTTTAAAGCATCTTTGATCTGGATCTTGGGCTTATCAAGATCTCTTACTATCTTTCTCCTGAAATAAAACAGTGGATCTCCTGAACATAGGCCTACCGTCACACTTGTGTATCAACAAGATTAACCTTCAGTTTAAGAAGTGATATTAGCAGGGGAAGAATGGTCCATCCGAGACTACCAGAAACATTTGTTTTTCTTTCTTTTTTAGAATCTGGATAATAGAGGGCATAATGTTACCAACATCTTACTATCTTTCTCCTGAAATAAAACAGTGGATCTCCTGAACATAGGCCTACCGTCACACTTGTGTATCAACAAGATTAACCTTCAGTTTAAGAAGTGATATTAGCAGGGGAAGAATGGTCCATCCGAGACTACCAGAAACATTTGTTTTTCTTTCTTTTTTAGAATCTGGATAATAGAGGGCATAATGTTACCAACATTAGAATTGCTTAAAAAAAAAAATCTTCCGATCATGATACAGTAGTCATGTATACTTTCCTCCTTCCTGGGAGGCTGCCATTGATTTGTTTTTCACATTGGGTTATAGAGGTTTTTCACTTAGGGAGATACAGCTGTCTACATTGCAATGAGATGAGATTACGACAGTCCTAAGAACTACCTACTGAGGAGTTTTACAGATGTGCAGCCATCCATCTGCTAAAGAGTGAAAAGCCCATTATGTTGTCCCTAATTAATTTTCTAACTTATTTTTATTGTTGTTTGAGGTTACATCAGTATACTTGCTCTTTGCCCCATCTTTAGGGCAGCATTCCTGTAGCACTTAGGGATATTGGCAGATGGAGCACAGGGAGATGCAAGAAAAACTTTCCGGATCAGACTTACTGATAGGCTTACTCCTGTCAAGCCATTGTGGAGATGTACCATAGTGTAAAGTTTTCCTCATGTAGGATTTTTGTAATAGGATGCTACTTAGGTGATCTCAGCACTTTGCTTTTGGAGCCCAAATCAGGCCTGCTCTCTGTAGATAGACTTGGAGAGGAACTGGATTTCAGAAGCAGAAGCCTTGTGTAGGATGTATTGAAATCCAAAGGAATCTAGAAATAATCTCATGAAATAGGGTCTATATGTGAAGGCAGATCTGTGCAACAGTATGTCTGTAAGTAAGAATGTTTGAATAAGAAAGGTGTTGAGTAGATTTTACTTGTTGCTGTTAGCTTTGGACTTTATCTTGTTTTATGTATGTCTCAAAAGGCTAATTTAGTTGTTTATTTTCCAAATAACAATGGTCTCATAGTCTTGGCAAAAGCTTAAAGGCTGAGATCTTGTTCATGTTGAATATAGAAAAGAGATAGTAAGAGTGCTGGAACCTGTGGGGCCAAATATGCTGCACAAGTTAATGTGGTGGTTTTACACTGATATTACTGTTCTCCCTCTGCCTTCTGTTGTTTATTTTGCTTGATTGACACATTCTGTATTATCAGGATGGAGTGAATTACTTATATGCTTGTCCACATATACAGAAGTGATTACACTGTGATATTAATAGAAGTGAAAGTAATTAATTTTGCAGCTGCAGATTGTTTTGACTTCATTACTTTGAGAACATGTGAAGTATAAATCACACCTTGTTATGAATTAGTGTTCAAGACTTTGGATCTGAAACATTGGCCCTGATTAGAAAAGAACTTCCTTCTGTACTTCAGGAATTTCCATGCTAACTTAAAAATCCTTATATTTAAAAAAAACCTTGTAGTTGCGTGTTTCTAGTAACCATTGCAGTCACTCTCCTTTTTCCTGCTGGGATTCACAAATGAGTGGCACCTGCAGTGTTTCGCAATATCTTTTCCCGAGTTAAGGGCTGTATATGAACTAAAATCATATTCTGCTGCTCAGTTCTGTTACCAAGTGTCTTTCTTGTTAGGCTTATAAATACATTTCTTAAATGTAAAATTTTTCATGACATGGAAGAAATGGCATGAACTGCCTAGGTTTTGATGCATAGCAGATACTTTTATGAATTTATGAACATTTTGAATAAGAGCAAATGTTAAAGGATTATTTGATTGGGTCTGTTTTGCTTAGAGTTAATGGTTGTATGTGCAGAATACAATCAGTGGTATATTAACAGTAGACTTGCACTCTGTAATTCAGCTGTAGTCCACTAATAGTTCAATTATTAGTTCATTGTATTTCAGTGATCAGTGAATTGTAACTGACTTAATCTTCTGCTTTTTATTCTTTAGTGCTGCAAGTTGATTGAATAAAATAAGAACATGGACTATAAAATGGATGCAGTTCCTTGAGCACCGTTTCTTCCAAAGCGTGTATTCTGCAGATTGTTGGCCTGAATGATTGATTGATAAGCAGCATACACAAGACTAATATCAAGAAAACATTCTGTCTGTTGCTGCTGTGTTTGACAAAACTGGTGCAGAGTCACGTCTTCTGAAATGCAGTTGAAAAAAATGAGGGAAATTTTACCAAGATTGTACTCTGGCCAAGTTAATGATAAAAATAATTCCTTAACTACATCCCCAAAGCAATCTTCTGAGGATAAAACAAATCCATCAAAAGGGGATGATGACCAAAACTGCTGTTACCAAGGGACTGAGGCTGAGAATAATAAGTTGTCACTGATAAGCTGTATAAAATGCAGAAGTGTTCAGAAAATTTCAATGCAAGATATAGAAAAGCATAAGAAGCTTGGGTGGACTGAAGACAAACATTTCATCTGCAAGAAGTGCAGCCATATTACACCACCAGCTTTCCATTTTGTTCCTGAGGGTGCCAATGCTGTAGACTTTGAAAAACGTGAAAAAAAATCCCCAAGTAAAACCCAGCAAACATTTAAAGTTAAAAACTTTCTGCCAGGTAAATACTACTGTGATAAATGTAGATTTTCAACAAAGGATCCTTTGCAGTATAAAAAGCATGTAGGTCAACATGAAGAAATTAAATTTATTTGCTCCCACTGTAGTTACATATCCTACACCAAAGGAGAATTCCAGAGACATTTGGTGAAACACACTGGAACTTTTCCGTATCAGTGTGAATACTGTGAATATGGTGCTGTTAGACATGACTATATAGTCAAACATACGAGAAGAGTACATGAAACGCCCACAAAACGGCTGTCAAATACTATCATAAACCACAAGCAAAAGAAGCAGAGTCAAAGCACTTTATTTGAAAAGCAGAAATACAGTAAAATTCCTTTTCACAATAAACTCTCAAATTTGTCTTCAAATATGGTTTGTGAGATTCCAGATAAAGTAACTAAAACAGTCTGTTCCTCTCATGATGTAGAATGTAGCGTAAACACAGCATCAGTCCAGGATAAAACAATATTGGAGCCATCTGAAATAAGCGTATGTGAGAATCAAAGTGTTGAAGTTGAGGTTTATTCTCCAAAAACAGAGCCTTTGCAACCTGGGATGCCTTTAACAGTAGTTGCACCATCTGAACTTGTAGTTCCTTCTAATTGTTTAGCTCAGATAGTAGAGATTAAAATAGTGAATGGAGCGCAACAGTTGGTTCTTAAACTGATTCCTATGAAAGAAGCAACTTACAAACCTGTAAACGCTGCTGGAGAGGAACTTGAGAATCAAGATATAGAACGATCTGCAGAAGGAAAAAAAACATGTTCTGTATCTCAAAATGAGTTACTAACCATGGAAGTGAATGTAGACAAATTATCCAGTGTTAGTAACCAGCTTAATTTGGATAGTACCTATGACAAGAATTCTGAATGTCTTTGCTTTTCCGATTCTCAACTCTCAGACTGTAACTCTGTATCTATACAGAGGGAAGATGCATCAAAATTATGCTTTCATTTGGTGAAAGGTATTGATGTCCATTCAGGTGTTATAGAACTTTGTTCTCCATCTCTGGTGATGAATAGTACTGAAAAAAAAAGTGATCTTAAATCCTCAAGGTGGGAAGTAGATGGAAAAAATAACTTACATTATGACTTGTATTGTTATGAAGAAGGTGTGGATATACCCCCTCCAAAATATGCTATTTCTGCAGAGAAAAGTTCCAAGAACATTTCAGTAGAGGCCGCTCAGGAGGGCAAAAATTCCTCTTCTTCTGCAGTCCTTAAACAAAAGGATACATTGCCTCTAAAGAGGGATGACAAAGAATGTGGGAGTCTGCCAGTCAGCTCTACAGAAACACATCTAGCTGGTAAGGGTTTTGATAAAAAATCTGTTACATCTTCTGAAGCAGGAAAAAACTTTCATGTCATTAAAACTCCACCTTGCGAGGACATGACTTTTGGCTTTAGCAAAGTAAAGAGAGCTGAAACCGTAAGTCAAAAGAACAATCTTCTTCTGGAATCATTAGAACTACAGAAGATGGAAAATAAAGGCAACCCTTTTGAGGGACCTGTTATTTCATCTGTATTTTCTCTTAGCTCTGGGGCTGAAAACGTTCCAGAGGGTGTTAGATGGGATGACACAACATGCAGTAAGAAGCCAGCAACGCTGCTGTGTAGAAAGATTGCTCAGCTCATGTCCGCTGCTGAATCTAACATGAAATCCATGCCTTTGAGATGTCAAGCTTCTAGTAGAAAGGTGCTTTTCCCTCAAGAAAATTCAGCAAGCTGTGGGAGAGTTGTTCGTGCCACTGAAGTGGAACAGTCTGCGTCTTTGCCTCCAGTGCATGGTGGAAGCAGTGTGATTAGTAGCGAAGAACACAGTAAAGATCAGTTGCTTACATTTGCAAGAACATCTAAAAGCAGGGTAGCTAAAAATTCCCATGTTGCTACTCCAGTGTTTATCCCCAAAGGGACAATGCTGAGAGTGCTGAATGCTACTAGCAGTCAAAAATCAAATGGAATAGAAAACAGGAGTGAAACATCAGCTCCTTCTAAGTATTGCAATGAAATGTTTCTGCCTCGCCCGGTTCCTGTCAGTGTTTCTGAGACACTTAGCAGTAATTTGCCATGTTTGCCTAATCAGAGTGAACTGAATGCTCAGTCCCGAAGTATATCACTCAGGCAAAGACCAAAGCGAGAGGCAAGCATTAAAAATAATAGCAAACAAACTGGTGTACCATTTCAGAAAAGCAGCGAAGTGAGTAAGCAAAGCAAACCCTATTCAAAAAGTCAACTAGGTCCCAAAAATAAGGTGAAACAAGCAAGCTTCAGGGAACTTCCTAAGAGGAAAACAAGAACTCAGTCGGAAACCAGTTCAGGTTCTGACATGTCATATCTGTTGACAGCAAGACGTCTTCGGCTTGTCCCTCTGAGAATGAATCAGTTGATAAAATGCCCTCGGCGTAACCAGCCAGTTGTGGTACTAAACCATCCTGACGTTGACTCGCCAGAGATAATTAATGTCATGAAGACTATCAACAAGTATAAAGGTCAAGTCCTGAAAGTAGTTCTATCAGAAAGGACAAGTAGTTGTCTTGGTGTCAAACGTTATCGAAAGCGTCTTACTCTTCAAAATGTTGAGACAGGAAACCAAGCAAAAAAGCAGAGTATGCTAAAAATGAAACTAAAAAAGACCCATAAAAACAACTACCAGGTGGTGGAAACTTCACCAGCTGAAACGCTTCAGTGTATGTTTAAGTGTTGGTTTTGTGGAAGAGTATATATGGACCAAGAAGAATGGATAAGTCATGGACAGAGGCACTTGATAGAGGCAACCAAGGGTTGGGATGTTCTTTCTCTTCCAGCAAAAAAGCATTAATTGAGAGACTAGGGGCGTTTCCCCTCTTAATTTTAATGAGTGCCACTGACTTGCTTGGAAAGTAAGATTGAAATAACTGCTTTATTTTGCCAAACGGTCTCTACTGTTAGCAAAGTGGGAGAGGAGAGCGGAGTTACAGAGATAGAGAGAAGCTGATAGTGAGGATTAAGCACTACTTTGCACTCTCATGTTTGAAATTTGTATTGGAGGTCAACTTCATCTGTTCCATAGGAGAAATTTGAAAAAGATTTGCTATGCAAGCATCTTTCTAGTTACCATTCTCTGTGCTAGGATACTGTGCTGTAACTGGTTTGTGCTAGGTCTGTATGGATAAAAATCTTAGGCTATGAGATCTTTGTAAATTTAACAGGGTTTAGTTTGCTTTATTACAGCATGGTGTTTCAGAGATCAAGCATACGTGTACTGAAAAGTACCTTTGATCCTCTGGGCAGCAAATGTATATCATAGGTTTTAGTGGCAAATTAAGCACCACGCATAAAAAGTAAAACTTAAATGCAAGTACTCTGTTTCAGTGAAACAAAAACACTTCTGCTGACTTCAGAGGAGATATAAGGGTGTAAATGAAGAATCTGTGGGATCAGAGTTACTCCCACTAGGTCAGATAGCACTAAAAAGTTTAATTTTGTTTAGTACTTAGTCTTTACCTAGCCTGTATTGCGTAGATGTGACAAAGAGAGCAGAATACTGTCAGCTTTCTTTACCATCTTTGTTCTGAGCAGGCAGAGCCAGAAATATCTCAGGCTTGGACCGATAGGAGAGAGAAGCTTTTCTCTATATGGTCTCAAGGCTGTTCTGAAATCTAAGGAAGTAACAGCCAAACATAAACCCTCTACCACCATGTGTGTGTAGCCTGATAGAAACACATTTGCAGAATTGGGCATTTGGTTAGAACTCTAGTCGGTACGTTAATCCTTATTTACAGGGGGAACTTGCTGAAGATGAAGACTTTTCAAAATGAAAAAACATGTTGCACAGCTTTTACATTGACAGTGTTGAACCAGATTTTCAGTGCAATCTTTCATCCTTCTTAATCTTAAGAATTTAGATGTTGTTAGAATATATTTTTTGTAGGTCTCAATTCATACAAGCATGTGCCTAGTTACATATGTACGTCTAACGTGTATCTACTGACTTCAGTGCAGTGTAAACATTGCTCAGTTGCTTAAACACTTTCCTAAATCAGGGCCAAATTTCAAGTTTTTTTAGTGAAGAAGAGGGATGGATGATGCTGAAGTCTAATGTTTCTGTACATGAACAATAGATGTTTTTCTTCATCTTGTCAATTTTAAATCATACAGAATGAACTATATTGAAGCACATTTACAATTAAAATAACTTCTTACATTTTTACAAATAAGAAAATCAATACTGACTCTAATGCTGGATGTGTGTTCTATGTTTGAACTGGGACTACTCTTGAAAAACTGGTAGTTCCTAACTCTTTTCACTGTTGGTGCATTTTTGTAAACAGTTTAAGCTGGGAATATTTTTTTATATACTCCAGCAGATTATACATTGTTTTGATAAAGTATGTATTGTATTTGTATTGAAATGTAAATATTTTAAAACTACATCTGACTGAGGCTTATTTTCAAAACGAGTTAAAACATTGAGTTCCTAACTCTTTTCACTGTTGGTGCATTTTTGTAAACAGTTTAAGCTGGGAATATTTTTTTATATACTCCAGCAGATTATACATTGTTTTGATAAAGTATGTATCGTATCTGTATTGAAATGTAAATATTTTAAAACTACATCTGACTGAGGCTTATTTTCAAAACGAGTTAAAACATTGCTTTCCAGTCATTTTGCAATACAGCGTTAAAATCCTTCAGATAGTTGGTGCTTTAAGTCAGGTCTTTTTCATCATGTACACATGGAAAATTTTTGTATCATTTGTATCAGACTAACCTGTTCCACAGAACAAAGTTCCTTTTGTCTGTTTTGTCAGTAATAATGAAATGACAGTTCTCATTTTGTATTCAAATGGAATTATATTTTTTTAGATGGGTACACTAGAGGGTTTTTTCACTTCATATACTTTGATGCCAAACCTTACAGTACTATTTACATTTTTGATTGTGAAAATAGCTTCCATTTTAAAATTCTGGCTTATCACATATACTAAATATCAAAAATTTTAACATAAAAAACATGGTTAAAATTCCTCCTTTGTTTTAACTCCTTCAGTCCAGGTTACTGTTTGAATTAATTTTGTTTCTGTAGAAGCTACTAAATAAACAGGTTTGAATTTGCTTCGTAAGAGTTGTCACTGGTAAAATTAGAACATTCCTTATGAAAGCTGTACTGGGAGGGCAGGGAAGTGTTGCTGCTCAGCATCATAAACTCTAGGTGGCTTAAGTATACTACTAATAATTGTCTTTTGTAAGCAAGTTTACTGTTGTAGTAAACATCTGCTAAGCTTTGTATGTCACTGCCATAATCTGCTATCTAAATTGTTAAGCTGTGTGTTTTTCAGGGGTTTAATTTAGAAAATTTCTTTTGTTTTAACATGAAAACCTTTTGCAAGTTAAACTGTATGGTGGCTATGAAACTCTTAAAGCAGATTATGTCATGCCTCTCTTCCTTTTTCTGAGCTCTGCCAAACTATTTAGCAGCTTCTGTTTTGTTAATTTTCATTATTATTAGCTAATGTCATGTCAGAGTAATTTCCTTCAAGTTTAACAGTCTCAGTCATTTGAGAGAAATAATTATAATGAATATTCTCTTGCATTTTGGTGCAGCATTGAGAAATAAAAAAGTTGCAAGGAAATAACAACCAACTGCTAAATTTTTTGAGAGATCATTTGTGCCACTACATGCTACATCATAAATTGGGTTGGAATGTCATGTTTTGGGCTTCAATGTTTTGTTTGGGCTTCTTGTTTCTATTCTGTAAGGCTAAAGTAACTGAGGTTTCTTTCTTGGTATATTCCAATTACCTAGTCAAACTTCTGAGTGTGGTTAGAAAGGAAGACTATGGATGCTTTGCAGAAAAATACTGATGTTTGCCTTTCATATTTATAATCAATTTAGTTAAGCCTTCCAAAACTGAAATTATATGAATAAATATTACCATATTTTACTGGAAAAATACCACCTTCTTGTCATCTTTGATACACACTGGAACATGTTTTCTTGCTGAGTTTGAAGCACATCTACTGTTCCTACTGATGATTTTTATCTCTATATTTGCACATGGTATGAATTCAAAGGGACTGTTTGCATAATGGTCCTACTATGTAAGTGGTTGAAGGCTCAGATATGGAATACAAGTATCTGCTGCTTAAGCTAACGATTAAGTGTTAGTTAAGTAATAGAATTTACATAATTAGAGCTAGCTTTATAATCTGCTTCAATACCTATGAGCACCAGCTGACACCCACTGACTTCAGTGGCTGCTGAGCACAGCTTGTTATTGTGCAAACACACATGCAGACCGAATGAAATTGTTAAACAGTGAATACTGAGATAAATAGAATTTCATGTGTATTTTTAAAAGCAAGAATATTTTTTTATATGACTGTAGTATGCTTTCTTAGGTTTTGCTACTAACTGAGCTTCAGTGACCTTTAGGTAAGCAAGATTGAGTTTGGTTTTTGTCTTGTGTTAGAAGGTACAGTGCAAGATAAGCAAATTGTGCAATCATTGTCAAGATATCAGGAGTCAGTCTCTCTTAACACTTTTCTGTGAATTAGTACAATGGCATATACTTTACCTGTATCCTCAAAGTTAAAACAAATGACAAGAATCAAAAAATGGAGTAGATCTATTATTCTTAGTTGGAGAAAAGTTTTTTAGTGGAGCATTTAGAATGCTTCATAATATTATGGGGAGCTCCTCACTCAAAGGTTAATATGATTTTTGAGACATTTAAATAATTGTTCTGTTTAAATCTATACAAACAAGTTGGTGACGTTAAGGCAGAAAACATCTTTTGCGCAATTTGAATGGATATGTAAGGTAGCATTGTTCTCTCTGGAGTCCTGATTTATCCTTTCCGTCAATGAGTGTGATGGGAACATATTTGTAGAAGTCAATGATTTCTTTCACAGAATTAAATTTCTGGGGGGAAGAAAGAGAAATTGTAATCAGTGATTAAAAATGGAATTGCCAGATGTTTTTGTCTATAACATTAAAAGACTTGCAAATGACAGCATTAGAAATAGGCAATATTTTGCATAGAATTATGATTAGATTAGATGGAAGCTATCATAAAAGGAAAAGCACCAGAATTTAATCCTCTTAATTCCTTTGTGTCTCTGTCTTGTGTAGGAGAAAGCAGCTGGCTGCTTAGGGCAAAAGGGGAGCACGTCTAAGCCCTGAGAATGCAGTACCACCTGTAAAAGTTTGTGATGGTAGATGTGATGATAGATTTTGAAAAGATGAAGCAACTATAAATCATTACTAACTTTCAAAAGTTACACTTAATTAGCAGTACATGATACTTCACACTGCAAGTTTCTTCGTGCCTTTTTAAATGTACCTTTTATTTTCCCATTCAGTTTACTGAGAAAATTGCTATAAAATCCCTTTAAAGTGTGGAACAAGAAGGTTCTCGGCAGGCTATTAGTCTTGTTCTCTGGTGTTCAAAACAATGACATCTTCCAAGTCCGTTCCTAAATTAATAAAGGTGTGGTTTGAGATTCCTGAACTGATCAAGCAGTAATGGAAAACTATCCAAGGTATTTATCCTCGTCTGTCCTGGTGGGAGTCTCTTAATCCTGCCATTCCAATGGTTAGCAGCCCTCAGTTTAAATAGTTCTCTTCCCTGTGTGTGTGACTTGTAAGCTTTCATCATGCCACTAAGCTATCATCACACCAGTGTTTCTCCTCTTGAGCTATTCTTTGGACTCATTGGTATTAAATCAATAGAACTGTACACAGTAATGCAAGCTTACTGTGACATTAATACTTATCCTGTATCTATATTCTATCACATTTACTGTAAGCGTGGACATTTATTGTATATGTGATAGTATCTCATGGTAGTCTCTGTCATCTCCACCTGATCCACACCTAGTTTATAACAAGAGAATCTGATTAAATCTGTGATTTGCTGTAACTGTTCCTGTATTATTTTAAGATGAAAATTATTAGATCTCAAAACTAGTGTGCTATTTTTTTAAAGTTTTGTTTTTATGATTTTTACTTGTATACATTTGTTCCACTTTGCCATTTTGTCTTTGCCTTATGTTCAAGATCACTATTGCTACTAGAAGTCTAGGCAAAACTGTGGTTTGTATTTCATGCCATACCAAAGTAATCCTAACTTTTTTTTATTCTCAATTTACTGTTTATTAGTAAGTTCTTTTTCTGTTTTCTAATGTTTCTATGTTTGTATGTTTCTATGTTTCTAATGTTTCTATGTTTCTAATGTTTTCTAATGTCTTTTGTTGGTTAGAAAGTTAAAAAGCCTTACTGTAATTATTTATCTGCTTTGGAAACTTAACTTGGCTCCACTTGGCTAATGTCACAGTATTCATCACTGTACCTTTAAGCTGTAGCTCTTTGGTAATGAGGGAAAAATGTCTCAGCTCTTACTTAGATTTTTTTTTTCCTATTTTATGTTATCCTGTACTCTTATTTGAGTTAGTGAGATTTAAAATATTAACCTCTGAGTCTCTTCATGGCTGCTAGAACATGAAGTTGACTTAGACATCATACTGATGAACACTGATGGTCCAGAACTTTTCGTCCTTGGCCCTTTTAATGGAAACCCACACTTTGTTAGGCATCAAGACACCTAAAGACATAAAGATGAAGAAAATTCAGTACTTCAGAATTGTTCATTTCCCTTCACTGTCTGAAGAGACTCAAACAGTTCTCTGCTGTCTTAGGAATGTCCTATCTGCTGGTCTTCAGACTGTTCTGGGGAGGTAGGAATAGGGTCTCAAGGATTGCTCCTGAAAAGTGTAGTTTTGAATTGCATTGGGGTGGTGGTAGGACTCTGGAATACGTCGCACATCCTGAATGAGAACAGTTCATCCTTGAACTGTCATTTAAGCTGTGGACAAGATGTTTACCTTGTAAACATCTCTTTTAGTTGAAAGTATTAGCATCCCCTGACAGGTGTTCACTGTGCCCGTTTTCCTGGCGGTAACTTTTGACATAACACTGTCAGTCGAAGACATTGTGGAAGTGCTCCCTCATCTACTCTAAAGAGTCAGGCCAGTTTAATGGCTGATGAAGGTAGTTGGAGCTAATCCATTTGACTCACTTTGAAATGAACTGAGTTGAACTGATATGACTTGCATGACCGATGATTTGAAAATGAAAGGTAGCTGCAAATAGTGATAGGGAGCGGTGAGGGTGGAGAAAACATCAGTGGCCAGAACAGCGAGATCCGGAGATACACGTCAGGCCGTGCTCTAAGCTTCTGTGTAAAACAGGCACTGAGTTGAAGAGGAGCCTACTTCTACCTTTGATTTTTAGGTACTGCATTGTGAGTTGAGCCTGATGCTGCAGACATGCTAAAAACACGTATTTTGTGTGTGGCAGATCTAGTTTTGCAAAGGCGATAAGAAAAATACTTAAATTTTGTGTCATGATCAGCTTTAAATGTGAGCAAGGTTTTGATTATCTTCAAAAGAACTGGGTACATGAAAAGAAGCAGCATTACAGGTATCTCTGGATCTTTAATACTGAAAACTGAGTGGAGTGGGGGAAGGCAATAGCAAAGTAAAGGGTGCTCAGGACAGCAGTTTTGAATGTAAATGCCTGAATTCCACATATGTCCCATTTAGGGATCTGGTCTTTATAGCTTTATGTGATTTGGCCTTTAGTGAGCTCAGTATAATATATGAAATATATATGTAGATGTGAACATCTGTGGCTAAATTGCTAGCAAAGTGTACAGCTCTAACTGTTTTGTTTTTTTTTTCTCTGCTCGTATTCATTATATTCCGGCTTGATGCTAATTTAGCTGCATGGGACTTCAGTTACTTGCCGTTGATCACCATCACATTGACAAAGAAGTAACAATTTTTTAAAATAGACAGAAATATGGTAACAATGCTTTTTTCCCCCCTTATGGCCTTAGAAGGCTATATGAGAGCTAATGATGCACTCACAAAAGTTGAATTAAATGCATTAATAAAAAAAATGGTTAATCAAAAATTTTTTTGATCATACAAAGTGTTAACACCTCATAAACAGTATATGAAAAAAACAAGAGTTGCAATTGGATGGGGAAAACTTTGAATAATTATGTATAAGAAAAAAAGAGTTTTTAATGGATGGAAATAGACTAATCCAAAAGTGAAAACATGCTGCAGAAATTCAGTAAGATTGAGCCTTTGAATAAAATGAACAACTGAGGAGAACTGTAATAGGTCTGCATCTGTTTGTTCTTGTTTAGGTTGCTTTCTCTTTAGCAGGTGAAGAAGGGATATTCAGCTAATCTAGATAAAGCAGCTGGTCTGTCTGCATTGCATACTGCAAAATGTGGCATAACAAAGGGTTTCCCTGTGGAGAGATAATGCAGAGCACTCTGGAAAGCATTTTAATAGGCATTGGAAAATTATAGGCAGCAATTTTGCTGTAATTCATAGCCTTAGAAATTGTTTTCACCCTCCTGAGGTAAGAACCTTAAGTGAGCTGCAGAAGTTGAGATGACAGTTTTCAAGAAAGAACATTTTTGGGGAATCCTCTCAGACTGCTTGAGATGGAAGTAGCCCTGCTGAGCAAGGTTGGTGCCATTGATTGTTCATTATTGCATGTGCTTCGTGCCCAGTCCAGTGTTAATTTTATTTTCATGTCTGCTGCTGAGAATAATGCATAGAAGTGGGAGGCTGTCATTTCTGTGGCTCCCCAGTACTACACGTAGCTGACTAGTAAAAGAACTCTGAAATTTTTCTGTTGTAGTTGATCTATGGGAAGATTTCTGAATTCAAGAGAAAGAACACTCAATTTTAAAAAAGAAGGCTTAAGGTAACGTCATGATTACCGATTTGGCCTGGTAGAGCCAAGTCTTAGATATTCTGTTGGTTATTAACTAGGTGCTTGAAATCCTTATTCTGGAATTGTAACTTTCCAATTTGACTGTTGTCGGTCCAGACCCACTGTTTTGTGCACAAGTTGGAACGTACAACAAAGTCATATATTTTGGTATTTCCTGAGATGGGAGGGATTGTGTTCTCCTTCCTTTTAGTTCAGTAAAAAATCACATATTTGGGTAATTTTCTAGTTGCCTTAATTGTTAAATCTGTTAAAAAGATGAAAAATTAGTTTTATGCCTTCATTCTGTAGTGTACCGTACACATACTACATTATCCTGTAGTGTACCATATTTAAGTTCCATTCCATTTTTTTAGTCAGTCATTGTTTCTAATCTGAGCCTTTTTTTGTCAGGGCCATTACAGGAAGACTAAACAATGTAAGAACCACGGACAACTAAACTTGCTTTCTCCTAAATCATACTAAAACTCTGGGAAATTATCTGGGAGGTTCAGTTCAGAAATGCAGATGATATTTTACAGATGGTTCACTACAGCAATGCCAGGGTGATGGTACCAGCAGTGCAGTTCTCAATTTTCTGCTTCCCAAACTGTTTCAGTGTGTTTGAACAATGAAGGATTTTTTTTTTCCCTCGTTACTAAACCAGTGTTCCTGAAGAACAACTTGCCAGTAAACCTTGCCCCTCACCTCTGAAAGCTCATGAATCCTATCCCACATTTTCTAATAAGAATCCAAATGTAAATCTTGGACCTGCCAAATTTATCAAGTTAGTTTGGGTCAGTTTTGATTTCAGTTTGTTTTAAGTCTATCTATAGAAAAGATAAGATTTGAAAGTATTGGCACGTGTCAAAAGGACATAATTGAAGATTCAGCTACAGAGGCTTTGCTGCTCCACCTTAGTTGGATTTCTGTCATTTACATAGCTAATAACCCTCATAGTTTGTTGCTCTGCTTTTTTGCTGTGCAGCTGGTCCTCCCCTATGCTGAATTTCATGCTTCGCTGAGCATTCTTTAAGTTTCTTTTAATTTTTTTTGTGAGTATCACATCTTTGTAGAGATGACCGTTTCACTTTTTCACACAGGAAAAAAAAGGTGAAGACATGCAGATACAGTATTTGTTATTTAACCATATAGGTAGAATAAGAATTAGACTCTTACCATGAATATAATTGAATTTAATGATGTAAAAAAGCATTGCTAATCTAAAAGGATTTTCTAATTCAGATTTACCATATCTGAAAGACTGATTGGTGGGGATCCATATGATTTAATTGCTTCTGAATATCCATGACAATTTTTGTTCTATTTCCTCATTTTTTTTAAAAGATACTGATTCCCCTTTTGCTATATGAGAGACAGACAATAAGAGATATTATGCAGCAATAACAGCAACAGGCCATGCTGTCAGGTATGTGGAGTTGTGTATATTTTAAAATATCTGCTTAGTATAACAAGTTAAAAAATACACTAAAATAATATGTATACTTGGAAAGGGAGGACTTTTCTTTCCCCTTTACTTTGCAGGTGTTACTTTGAGTAGGAAAAAGTATTGTAAGTACTTAGAAAATTTTCACATCGATTTAAATCTGAATTTGAGCATGGTAGGTAAAATTCAGTTTTAAATTGTTATCTTGAAGTTGCTTGAAACTTTGAGACATAGTTGAAACAAGAGTATTTTAAAAGAAACTTTAATGAAACAGCAAGTTTGTTACGTGGGAGAGTTTATAACTAATCTTTAGTATTAAGAACTTGTGGAGTGCGACATAAAAGCAGTAGATTATAACATTAGATGGGATTTTACTTACATCATCTCCTCTGAGCCCTGTTCCCAGTGCGTATTGTTGGCTCTCTTCCAGAAAACGTACTTTAATGTTGTATACTCTTCTTCCATAATAGACAACCAAAACATATGGTTCAGCGTTTGATTTCTTTGAACAATCTCTAACCAAGAATGTCTCATCCTGTATGACACAGATTTAAATTATGGATTATATGGTTAGTTTGCAAAAAAAACTTGTAAGCCATTATGGACAGTTTACAGATGTTTTCTCCAAGAGTTTACACCCCTGGTTTCGAGGTAAATTGTACTTACAGTGTTTTCCTGTAACAGTGCCTTCTCTGCTTCGTGGCGATCATATTCTCCAATGTACCATTCATATTTGTTTAAATCCTTAATTTTAAGATAGTATAATCAGTGTGTAGAAACTAACCACAGCTGGCAGAAGCAAAAGCCGGTGAAAATAGATTCTATCTAATCTGCATTTAAAGCAAGTTTAGCACAGTTTATAAAAGTAATTGTAATGCATCTATATTGAGAAGTCCTGTGAGGAAATCTGAATCAAATTAGACATGTAAATTCTTATCCGTGGTTTCAAGAGCTCACACTGGACTGTTTTCAGGGGTGCTGAATACCCACAGCCTTCAGACCATTTAACTTCTCCGGGAAATGTTTTCAGTAAACAGCAGTTCTTATGGTCTGTGTGGGCCCTATAGCGATAATCCTGTTTTCTAAAAACCTGTCTCCTTATGAAGTGAAGCGTTCTTTACCTTTTCAGTGGGTTGGGTGAGAGACTGCATTTCCCATTTTACAAGTGAATGTTTTGATTTATTTTTGCATGCTGTGTATGGCGTAGGAGGTGGTGACGTCTTCACTGACAAATTCTCTACATTTAACATGGACCCTGTAAAAGTAAATTCAGAAAGAAAAATGTATTTTTTAAACTTAAGTTATAGTTTCATTTTACCCTATCAGTTTTACTTAGTAAGACTGAGAATAGCATTTACAGTTTAGAAATACAGTATACTAACCTTTAAAATTTAGAGCTGTCAGTTATGAGTGGTGGTGTGCTAATGCAGCACCAGTGATTTCAAATTCATGCCCCAAGAGATTTAACACATTAGTTCCCTGATGTTTTTTAATGGACATCACTCTGCCAGGTTCTTGCGCACATAAACATAGCAAAATATTAAAGATAAACTACTAATAAAATAGCAAATGCTAACTAAAAGAATACATATGGGGCAAGTGTAACGGTTCATTCTGTTCTACTTTCACCTTTTGAGCCCCTTGTATTTGTGTTGGATCGGAACTGCTGTTATGTTGGATTATATTTAAGCCCCTTATTATCCCATTGCCAGCTAGCATTGTTTCCACCAAGCTGTTGAAACCTTAAAGGATTCAGAGGTTCTGCCATGCTGATGAATTTCAGTCTGCTCTGTGACTTGTTTCAATTAAGAAATTTAGGACCAAGAAGTGAGGTTGCTCTTGCATTAAGAAAAAGATGAAGGTGGTCCCCAGCTGCGTGCTCCTGCTCCATACGGCACTGCTGAGAAGGCAGCTGCCCGAGGGAGCTTAGATAGCTGAAAACCATCCTCAAAGCAAATGTTGTTTGCAGTCTGTAGGTGTAGGGCTGCCATTTACCAGCCAGACCCAGCTTGCCACGTCACTGGGGAGCTGTGCCAGCGCAGGGGATGGGGCAGGAACACCAGGCGTGGGTTAATGTGGGAGGCTCAGGCAGGCTGGGTCAGATGAGGATGCAGCAGAAACAGCCTGAGAAAAGCAATGGCGTGCTTTCAATGTATAGGTCGAATGCAGTTTGCAGGTACACAACATGGGGAAAAAATGGTTAACTGAAGAATAAAATACATCATATCCTGCTCTACCACAGAAAGCATTTTTGTTTGTTTCATGCAATGCTGGTGGGAGAAATGACCTAGTGTCTATTGTAAGAATAAATGAGAAAAATGTGATTATCGATGGCTTCCATCTTTTCCTTCTGGTTACTGTCACAAGAGACAGTACTGTTTGCCAAAGCGGTATTTCATTATGTTTTATCTATTGTTCATGCTTTATCAGTTTATTATTTTTCTGCCCATACATAGCATATGACAGAATATTAAAGAAATTCGACTTGGAAGACATTCTTTCACAGAAGAATAATAGTTTTCACTGCGTTTCACTGTTTCATGCATACATGTACCATGTTCTGGTTTATAACAGCATTACATTTGTTTTTAAGACAGTAAACAATGTCCACTGATCTCAGTAGACAAACAGCCATGATCTTCAGCAGGCAATCAGTCTGTTCAGAAACGAAATCACTGTTCAAAGGGTCTGGGACCAGATATGCACAGTCTGTTTCTGCAATCAGTTTACGTTGTCAAAATGCGAATATGTCACCGTTCAGCTTAATGGATCCTGATTTTGGCATTTGGGTTCACATTGCATTTTTGTTGGCTATCCCCAGATACTTTCTTTTTAAAAAGAGACCCCACAGCTAGGACCATGTTTGCTTTGTGACCGGTGCTCTGTAAGTTCTGTAGAATTTTTTTTCTGGTATGTCTTAAACTGTGGGACAAGAACTGGAAAATTCTCTTGTAATGCTTGTGGTTTGGGTCTGGCTGGGATGGAGTTAACAACAGCTTGCCGAGAAATTAAAGAAGAATGTTTTAGATTTTTGAACAGAAAATAACTTGTTTTCAACAATAAAAGCTAAAAATATCCAAGAGAGAAATATATACTTACATAGGATAAGAAAGGATATTTGTATAAATTTAATAAAATTAAAGTTTCTTCTTTAAATATATTTTATTCCAAACATGGACTTGAAAGGAAATTGTAGAATAGCAGAGGGAAAGGCCACTTGTTTGTTCTGTCCCTGTTGTTTCATGAAGACAAGGAATTTACAGAAGGAAAAGGAGATTGTGCCGTCCCAGAGAGCCTGAATGACCAAGAGCAGTAGTAGGGATGGTAGGAAGTGTCTGAAGTGGAGATGGGTGTGGGGCACCTAGGAAAAAGACTGAGACACTGCTGAGAACAGCAGGAAACGGGGACCTAGATGAGCTTTGTGGTTTCTGTAAAGACAGATGTTTAGTAGGTGTCCAGAAGAGAGTATGTGGAATTGCACCTCCAGCACAAGAAGGATGTTGTTAACCAGGTGGCTCAGTGGAGGGCCACCACCAGAGTCAGGGAGCTGGAGCCTGTGAAACAAAGCTGGCGGAGGTGGGCTTGTTTAGCCTGGCAATGACCGAAGTTAAGGTGAACCCTACTTTATCTGAACAAATAATACAGTCCGTATGTTCTTCCTGGTGTTACTTGCTTTTACCATAAATTCACATTATGCAATTCATAGGTTCTTGGCACATCTTAGGGGTTTTGAAACAAAAGGGCATTTGCAGAGGCAGTTAAGGGAAAATATAAAAGTATAGCAAGTGTAGTCAAGGACAGTACGAAGTTACCATCATGGATGATTCCTATAGCTCCTTGGTCCCCAAAACCCCTGGGTCTCCCAAGGTACGAACCCTTTTTTTAAGGAATGGAGATACAGCATGAGCTAACTTGGCTGGTTAATGACATTCAAAAAATCAAAAGACCAAGGTCATGTTATTTACAGGTACTCCATCTAAGGTGTAGATACACCTCTTTTTATCAATTAATCTGTTCATGAAAGACAAATATATCAGAGTTTCCTTTATAGCATCTTTTCTCTTTAGTATGCATTTCTGCAAAAAGAAATCGTATTTACATAACAGAATGATAACTGTTTTCTCTTGCTTGCACAATTCTTATCATGAAGTTTGGCTAATAAAGGGATTTTGCTTTTCAAAAGTCTGTGAGTAGATGCCGGGGTGTTTTTCTGTCTCTTTTGGGTTTATGGAAATACTTTTTAAAGCAGGTGTAACTATATTGAAAGGTAGGGATGAGCCACATAGAAATTTTGGGTTAAATACTAATGAGGCCATATTTTTCTAAAAGAAATTAGGCAGAGGGGTTGGTGGACAACAGATACGATATGATATAACAGCAAAAAGCTAGCACAACTTTTAATAGTGTTTGTAGAAGTATGTCTTCAAGATTAGGGAGACAGTGTGCATATGAATCAAGTGATACTGTGATCATGTTCCCTTAGGTAAAACCACACAGTCCAGGGGATGTCCTGTTTCCAACCATAATAATTTGACAGACCTGCCTGATAATGGCACCTACAAGTCCTTCCCTCTAGGAATCTGGGATAAATCTAAAGCAATTTCTTCAAAGATCAGTGTATTTGTTTACACAAAGGCATTAAACCCATAGTAGCTGCTCTATAATGTCCTGAACATCTGTAGCTTCCATTTAGCCCAGCTGAGTGCATCTCTGCCTGGAAAAGCAGAGACTGTTGTGCTCACAGCATGCTCTTTCTCCGTGGGTGTCTCTAAATTGGTATGCCCAATTTATCTTCTCTTCCTCTCCCCATTGTCCTTCAGTGGCTCGTCCAAATCCCCTTCCTTTCCTGGGTGTGGGGGACTGCAATGGTTTAACACTTGCATTCTAGGTTGGGCATTTCTTAGCTTGAACCAGGCATGGGGTATAGCCAAGCAAGTAACTCTCTGCTTGCTTCTTCACTGTTACTGACTGTGCCATTGTTTTACTTGTTTTCTGCTTGCTTGCTTTAACAATCCCTTTGCACTAACTCCATGCATTGAAAATCCCCAGTGCAGACATACCACATAGAAACATGAATCTGTTTCTTATTTATCCCTGCCTGGTTTAGTTTTCAAAGCGATCTCTGGTTCTTACCTGAGCTGCGAATGCTTTTAGAGCTCCGCGTACATTGAAGGCTAGGAGAAAGCAATGAATGAAGTAACGTCAGAAAAATATTTCTGTTAGTGGCAAGTATTTAAGTAAGAGTCAAATTAGAAAGCAATGCATAGCTGTGCTTCCCCAGAATATCCCTTCCTCCCTCTGCAGATTGCAGCTTTGGGCCTTCCTGGGTTTCAGGTGGTAATTTTGTATTTAGCATCTTTTGACAGATTTCTCTCCCATTAACTTCAAAAAGTAGCTGGTGAAATTATGTAAATTTTTACTCTCCACAAGAGTGGCAAGAGTTTTGCATTTTAACTGCACGTGTAGCTGAAGCACAATTTGCTTTTGTTCATTTTAAGCCCATTCCCTGCTAATTTCACCTGATGTTCCCAGTCCTTCTGTAGGAAGACCCAGGGAGCAGTTGTTCCCTGTCCTTTCTGATTTTCTAGACCGCTGCTGAGTACCCAGCTGGTATTTTATTGTGGTATTAATTAGAACGGTTACACTTGGGAAGAGCACCAACCAAACTTCACATAACAGAGCCACTGGTACCACACAAGAAGAAACAAAATACTAAGGATCACAAATACTGTCACATTTACTCCAGACAATAATTTTATCGTGGAGAAATGCCATCATCATAAACAAGGCTAGATGAGAGATTCAGTATTTGTCTAGGAAAGATGTGAAATCGTTCATATACTTCCTATACTTCATCCTACACTTTTGGCTTTTGTTGAGTACTTTAGGAGGATACAGATTTTAAAACACATTTAGAAAAGAAAGATTTGTGTAGGTTAGAAAAGAAAAATAGCAACCATGGCAGATTTCTATGGAAGAATAATTGGCCTTTGGAAGGCCAAGTATGTATTCTTTGTATATAAAAATAGAAAATAAGGGGGAGAGGAAATGCTGAGACTGGAGATGGTAGAGCTTCTTTATACAGTATATTTAACACCCTATCACAGAAAGTGAGGCAAAAATGTAATACAGTAGGATGCTATTAAAGATAAAAATTGAATGTGCAATTAGAATAGCTTGAAAGCAATTCCCAAAGATGGTTATTGTCATGCGTCAGGGCAAAACATAATATATCACTACATGGCATCAGAAAGCGGTATCATCTTAATTTTATTGCATAGTGAAGTATAATTTTCTAGGGCAGAATGTTTAGTCCTTGAAGCATCCAGTACAAACTCATGAAATTCTTATATTCCTACCTGGCTTCAGGATGATGCTTTGGTTTATACTGTTGTGCTCGAAAAGGTATTTCAGGTTTCTTCCCCAAGTCTGTAGCTACTAATAAAAAGAATAAGAACTCATTATTTCCTCTTATGTGTAACTTTGACAGTATCTAGCAACTACTGTGAAATAAATTAACCTAATTATATTCATATATGAGGGGAGGCAGTTCAATAGAAAAAGCTAATAGGCTACAATCAGTCTGGCTTAAATGAGTCAGCTAATGATTTCAGTGGGAAACATTTATACTAGTACTGAATGTTACATGGTGAACGTTACAGGTTTTGCTGATGCCAAATATGGCTTAACATAATGGTAAATAATGCAGAATGCTGTACTAGAAGTATTCAGAGGGTTGATAAATCCTTTATATAGGACAGGATAGGTAGGCATTGAATGTATTAATGCAGTCAATACTATTTCTAGCTGAAAATCAGGAAACTGTGCCTTAATCTGCAAAAGGAACTGCCAGAGGGAATTCTGAACTCATTAACACAGAGGTGTAAACAGCATAAAAATCATGTAGCCTGTATCTATCTTCAAAGTATTTCAGAGTAACATTTTTTTCCCATAGACTTCCATGCACACATACACAGCGAGTGGCTTAAACTGTTTTTTCCAAGCTGTATGTACTTCTAAAGAATTGACATGTTTTTAAAACCTTTTTTTTAAAAAAACACCTGTTTTTGTAGCTTTAAAAACCTAAAGCATTAAAAATCTTTCTTTAAAAATTCTCACCCTCAAATTACAGGAGAAGAGCAAGATGGAGAGAAGAGAGACATTCTCTGTGCAGATCCAGTCTTTTCTCTTCAGAATATCCTTCCCTCAGTTTTTTAGGTTCCAACATTCTTATTTTCCCCAGGACCTTAAGACTTTGATTTGCTTAGAACAAACGTGGTACCCTGGTTCCCCAAATAGCTGTAGTTAATGCCAAGTTAAACTCCTTTTTTCCGTTACATCTTCCACAACTGTTGAGGTCACCCTAAATCTCTCTATTCTCAGCAGACGTATACCTGGGGGATGTCTCTTACTCATTTAAATACAGAGCCAGATGGCCTAATGCTACACAGCAGGATAGATGTCAGGTTCCTATACTGATTACTTCAGCTGGAGTTTTAATGATAGAATATTTTGTTCTTGGAATGTGAAGGAAAGACAACAATTAATATCATATTATTAAGTACTAACCTTGTTCTCTTCCAGGTGCCTATATAAAATGATAACATAGACAGTAAATATTTTTCTTTTGATTACCAACTTGAACTTACCCCAACAGACCCAATTATCTTTTAATTTTAAAAAAATTTATAGACATTCAATCATTAGTACCTGATCACTTTGTCAAAAACTCAGGCTGAATGTTGATCTCAGTCCACTGACAATGAGAACCAAATTTTTAGGGGTATAAGTGAACATGGTTTATCGCAATGATCACTATTTTGTAATGACTACTGTGCATCAGTTTAACTTACGGTATGGTTTTCCATCATTGATCTTGTATTAAATCAAGAGATTGATTTTGATTGACTGGAGATACACTATCCAAAGATTAAAGTCAGTCATTTCTTTTCAGGCTGCTCCACTGACAATACAATTATTTTTACTGTCATGGCAGATACTTCATTCAAAATCACTGTGTGGAGAGTCTTAATTCAGCATATTATGTTACAAAGAAGTGAATGATAGACAGGTGTCTAGAGACCAAATGTTTGACTCATAAACTTTCACTGTATTTCTGTATTATTTGATTCACACAGGAATAGTAATTATTTTGATTAATTTGATACACACAAGACTATAATACATAAATATTAAAGATAAGAATTTTTTACTCTTTGTTGATGTTCCACCTTGAGTCTTCCTTAAAATTTACTTCCCCAGTAATGTTTTCCCATTACTTAGAAATTCATAGTCTCATTCAGGTTGGAAGGGACCTGGGTAGGTCTCTAGTCCAAGCTCCTGCTTAAAGCACGGTGAACTGCGAGATGAGACTTGGGCTCAGAGCTTTGTCCATCTGGGTCTTGCAAACCTCCAGAACCTAGATTTCACAGCTTCTCTGGGCAACCTGTTCCAACACCCTCATAATTATCCTCATAATTATTTTTTCTTCCTTATTTCTGGTTGAAAACTCCCTCATTTCAAGTTCATTGCCTCTTGTACTTCCACTGTGCACTCTGTAAAGTGCCATGCTCTGCCTTCTTGATAATAATCTCTTAGGCACTGGCAGGCTGCTATTAGGTTCCCCCAGAGCCGCTCCCCTCTCCCGGCTGAGGGAGCCCAGCCCCATCAGCCTCATTTCACAGGGCAGGTGCTGCACACCCTGACTGCACTGGTGACCCTCTGCTGACCCACTCCTCTCTGTCAACAGCAGCCTTGTGCGGTACTCCAGGTGTTGTCCAATGAGTGATGAGTAAAAGGGAATAGTCCCTTCCCTTGATCTCTTGGCTATGCTTCTCTTGATACAGCTCAATATGCTGTCAGCCTTTACAGCTACCAAAGGCACACCAGTGGCTCGTGTTCAGCCTACCGTCCCCAGGTCCTTCTGAGCAGAGCTGCTGCCAAGGGGGTTAGTCCATCCCGGGGCAGGATTTTGCATTTGTCCTTTCCAATTCAAGGAGGCTCCTCTTGACCCTTTCCTCCAGCCTGTCTGGGTCCCGGTGAAAGGCAGTCCTGCTCTCAAACCTATTGACCTGCCGTTCGGTGTCTGAAACCCTGACAAGGGCACGCTCTGTCTCCTCCTCCAGGTCACACTGAAACTATTTATGTCTTTGGAGCTGTATGAATGGGAAGTGATCCAAATTAAATTTTATCTTTTCCATGTTATGAGATATACAATATTTCTCCTTAAGATGTAGCCAAACTAAGAGCCTGTTAGGAGCTGCAGTATTTGTGCAGCTGTACAGTGCCCAGCCAGAAATATTAATTACAGATGTAAGATATTTATTGTTCTTGGGGATGTTTTCATACTGGGTTTGTAATGAGTCAGTATCTAGCATAAGACAAAGCTTTTTGTGTTAAGCCAATATCTCATTTTTCAGCATTAAATGTTAATTACAATATTGCAATCAAACCATGTTTTGTAATGACCTTTCAAACTAAAAGAATTTCTAACCATGGGAGTACTGATGTTCTGGGACAGCCTCCCAGTCAGAGCTGTGGAGAAGAAAAACTCAAAGGATTTGAAAGTTAGAGCTAGACCAGTCTACAGATTGTGCTACAGCCCACTGCGATAGGAAATGGCTGGATTTAACTAGTATAGAGATGCCTTTCTTTCTTCTATTCCCTTACAATGAGATAAAAAGCAATACAATAGAAACATATTAGTGCAGTAAATAGAACATGCAGTGAGAAATACAAAATGCCATAAATTATAACCTATCTCTGAATTTTGCAAACATCCTTTAACACTCTGCATTACTGTAGGGACTGTATCTCTTAATACATCTTAGAGAAACCACTTGTTATAACTAAACCCCTTTATTGCTAAACCCATTTCCTCTGCTTTACTTCATTGGCCCAAGTAGAAAGTGAAGGAACTTGTTAAAAACTTTTTACAGAAACTGGGATCTGAAAAAAAAAACCCCAACCGCTTTCCTTTACCAATCTCTGTGTAAAAGTTACTGCTTTCTGCTTTATATATGCTTACAGGTGAATCCACAGCATTGCCTCTCAGCTTCTGCCCTCTGGCCACAGCCAGCTGGTGCAGGGGTCGTTGGTGGCCGGGCTGCAGGCAGCCATGCTGGGAGGAGAAGTGCTTGGAAGTGTGGGGAGGGAGGGAAGAGCCCTTTCAGCCTCTGTCAGACAGGGGAACTTGGAGCCGCTGCTTCAGCATCGCTGGCGTTGAGAGCACACACGTCTCAGCGGTGCCTGGAGCCGAGAGCTGCCCTTAGTGGAGCTTTGCAGACCGGCTGTGAGGAAGGTGGGTTGTGAGCTGGAGGATGGGGCCAGTGGGAGATGAACTGGGGGATGTACTGGGGCTTACTGGGCTGCCCATGGCTCAGGAGGTTTGAAGATGTAGTGGAGTGTGAGCTTTGGCAGGAGGGCAGGTGGGCAGCGCTGTACGGGCCTGTGCTGGGCTCAGAGGGCAGCGAGGACCATGCATCGCTGTGGCTGTGGTCCCCACCTCACTGGGGAGGGCGGCGAGGGGTTCGGCTGGGGGAAGCCGTAGGGCCACGCAGGCGCCTGAGCAGCAGTTTGGTGGCCCCCTCGGTTGCTGCCGGAGCTATTTTGCAGGCCAGGCTGCCATTTGTCTGAGGTGACAGATTTTGCAGGTCTTGTGAGAGGCCCTAGGGAAGGAGTTTGGGGGAGGAGAGGGAGAAGGAAGCTGGAGGATAATAGGTGAGGTTCATTCTAGATATAAAATTTGTCAGTTTTTTATTTCTCTTCTTGAAAAGGTCATGTTATTTTTGAGGTAGCCTTGTGTTTACATCAGAGTAATACTATTACACTGCTCTATTTACCTTATGATTTCAGTTTTCTGCTTTTAAAAATCTATGTGGAATCTGTGTTTCTCTGAAAGAGAGTGTCTCTCCTGCTGCTTACCATTCATAAGCATCCACAGCATCTGGCAGTTATGAAATACGCTTTTATGTGGCTACTTGGGAAGGTAGCTTTACACTGTATGTATGTTTTTATTTCTGCAAGCAACTTCAGGAACTTACCTTACCATCACAGAGTAGTGGTATTGAAAATGCGACACATATCAAAGATAGATACATTTATGACCCAAAGCTACTATGATTCTTACAGTATTTTTACTTAATAGGCTAAAATACTGTTACAAGAGAGGCTGTGCAGCCATGGAATGTGAATGCTTTTTATGGTCATAATATATACAAAGATGATTACTTACTTCATTTAGTTCCTTAACAGATAGATGTCTGGAAAAGAAAGAATTATATGCAAAACATTTCATTATCATAAAATAAAAATCACTTTGAGTACTTAAATACTTTGATTACATCATCACTGAAAATTAACAGCCCTTGGCAAGGGAAGGATTTTATTACTGCTATAGAAATTCAGAGGTTGGTTATTTTTTTGCATAAATTATTTGCAGGAAAAGATTATGGACTTCCATAAAAAAGAATAGCATCCACTGAATTCATTATGGTAAATGAGAAAAGTCTGTGTTAAGGATTTATTCTGGGAGGAGGGGAGAAGAGATATGAATGTTTATCAGCTTTCTTCACGACTTTTCATCTCATGCCAAAATGTCTTATTACGAACTTTAAAGTCAGCTATAAATGGAGGTAAATTCCTTGAAGAGTTTCAAAAATGAAACATTCACAGAGGCAGAATGGAAAGTGTAGAGGAAAGGAGGTGCAAACCAGGAAAAGAGAAATGGAGAAGGCTCCTCATGGTCCTGATTCAAGTACGAGTTAAGTGTTTTTCTGCCTTCTCCTGGTATACCTGATCAACAGGAATACCTTCCTTTCCTGAAAAGGATCATCAGAAAATATTCTCCCCCAAAAGGGACAATGTTTTGAGTCTGACATCTTTTGTTAGATGTCCTGGCTTTGATGAACACTCATGCTTTTTAGCAACTTGTATCTCATAATAAAAGACTTAGAGGATGTGATTTTAGAAGTTATTCAGCAACATAAGGTGTGGATAGGCATCCAATAGTTTTTTGAAGGCTCCGGGATTTAGTCCCTGCTTAGCTTACCTCCTGGACTGAGAAAATATGAGTTATTTTGCTAAATCAGACAGGGAGAATGCAAAAGGAAGACACGGTATAGAAAATCCTGGGAGCTACTTCTCAACACTTGTTCAGTGAGAAGGAGTCTCTTCCTTGCGCCTGCGCTGAAAACATCAGCATGGAGGGTTAAAGAGGCAAGAAATTTGGGAATGATCTGTTAGGGGAAACTTTCAGGAAGAGAAAGGAGAGGAACTGTTTTGGGTTTGGATAGTTGCTTTTGTGTTAGCTTCTGCAATTTGTTAGCTTGGTCTTCAAGGTCATTATTTGACGTGTGAAAGCCTATATTCAAAACATTGGGTGCATGGTACAGTTAAGCTATAATAAAGGTGTGCTTGTAGGACTGGCCTCCACCACGAGGGGACATGCCACTCGTATGGCCTGCTTACCACAGGCATGTAAAAGTTTAAATCTCACCAAAGCTTCTAAGATACATTCTAGGATCCTGCAAATGCCTGTATTTTTATGAGGCTATTTATAAAGTGTGTAAATAATGATGTGTTTAATTTTTTAAGTCTTCCAAATCTTGTTGGAAAACAGGACTTGCACTGCTAAATCACATCTGCGGTTTGACAGCTTTGCTTACAGTCTAGCAGATAACGGCTGTAGCGCCGTACTCCGCCACACTGCAGCTCATATGTATGTTTTCTCCTTACAAAGCTGTGACTGGACTGAAGATGAGTGAGAAATATTTTGGGTGAAGTGTTTGTGCGTGAAATTTGTGAAGTGCCTTCCCCAGATCATGTGTGGTCTTAGTCTCTTACTCATGTGATTAAAAAAACCTAGTACAATTAAAAAAACCCAAACCTATTAGAAATATTTTGGTATCTATAACTGCAGTGTGGAGTTTGGTGGTTATGATTTTTGCTGCTGCCTTTTAATTCTAGCACAAGAAATTATATGTATTTATATTACAGATTTTGGCTTTATAATAGGACCTTTCAAGTCCAAGTGCTTTGCATACTGATGGCTGCTGGCAAACATGGCTTATAACAGTTCTCACAGAGCTTTCAATGTATGTGCTGCCCTACCAAGGGAGGGGATCAGTCATGGGATTTGGAACTTTGCAGCTATAGGTCAGGTCATGCATCTGGATATGAAGCTACTTCGTATTAATAAAATGTCTTAACAACCAACAGCTTTTGGAGCATAATCCATGAAAGAACGTAAGCACCATTCGGGAAAAAAACCCAAAACATACTTAGAGCTCATTCCTTAAGTATGTACTTAACTTTAAGCAGAAGATTACTTCATTGATTTTTTTAGCTTTTTTTTCCCATGGGATTTGTAGTGACCTTTGTAAAATGAAGCAAAATTCAATCCTGATGAACTGAAATTGAAACTATTTATGGAAGGATGGACAGGATTGACACAGCTCAGTTGTACCCAAACTTCTGGCTGCAATAGGTTTTCGTCGAGAGGCATTGAGCATTATACCCTGTGGCCCCTGGCTGTGCATCATTCCTGTTCCCAGCATGTGTCCACCACCATCCCCATTTATGAATGTGCATTTTGGTCACACAGCAAGAGCATATACGCATCTGGTTACATTGCAGTGAGCAGCATGCATGCTCATCTGACTAGATAACATGTGTTATATGAAAAAAGCAACCAGACTCATAACCTGACATATGCATATGCTTGGTCATACAGCTGGACACAAGCGATTTGTGCTTCAGGACTCAGCGCTCATCCACACTGCCATGTCAGGATGCTGGATGAACATGGGTGATGTATGACAGAGGAGGGCAAGATGGAAAGGGCAAGAAGTGACTCATAGTCTGGGTTCGTTGGTCTCATGGGTGGGAGCAAGACTTCTGGCTACAGATGAGTCATTTCTTTTGCTGAATGTAACGTCCTTGGGATGTGGAGTATCTCTGTATTTCTGTATCTCTGGTGCGGTCAGTGTAGTTTCCCATCACTTGGTTCACCAACTGTGCTAAGCAAGTGCAATTGTTTCTACTTAGAAGTGGTTGCAAAACCTCTAAATGTTAGTAAGAAAAAGTAGGACAAACCTTAAACAAAGTGTTCGTGAGAGTTCCACCTACTTTTCCACTCCTTTACCATTATTTTGGCAGTTTTTTCTTTAAAAAATGCTAGTATCACATTACACTAAATACTTCTCTCAATTATTCACAGCTGTCTAAAGAATAACTTTTTTTTCTTAAGTAAAAGCAGAGGTGCGATGGAGGTAAAGTCTCGTTGTTTGACCAGGGAGAGTGTTTTGATTCTCAGGGAATGAGGACGAGGAATGCATCCGTACCTTGTGACTTTTGCTGATATTGGAAAGGTATGAGCTTGGCTGAGCGTTTTCCTCATGTGAAAGAACTGGCTGCTTATCTTCGGCTCTGGAGGAAGTGGCTGATACTGCTTTGGCAGTGTCTTCAGAGGCCTAGAGAAGTCAAAGGAGAATTTGAAGAACTATTAGGGAATAAAGGAGGTGGAGGGACTGTGCTGTAAGTGCAAGCTCAATAAGTAAAACACTGGAATTTTCCAAGAGCATTTCAATGTATTTGTGCTGAGCTTAGCTCAGGTCCAGGAGCTTCTTGGGGCCCTTCAATAGAAATAGCAATTTTGGATAATGTTCTACATTTGCAAGACATTACTATACTGTGTTACGTGCCACTTAACACCGCTTTTTGTGCGCTTCACCAGTATGTGCCAAGTACAGCTCACCAGTGTTGATATTTCTGGGTGGATATAGCTGTGTATAAGGCCCAGCCAGGGAACACACAGGAAAAAATGCTCTTCATCCCAGAAAACTCACAGCTAACACGTGCCCAGTGTTTTCTGGCAGATGTGGGCACGCTCTGCCCGTGCTCTGAGACCAGCCAGTCACAGCCAGGCTCCAACTGGCAGCTGTCGCACAGAGAGCTTGGGTGAGTAAAAGCGGGGGTGCATCCATCCTGCACTGCAGAGCTGCCCTTCCGCGGTGGGCTCCCGGGGAGGGAGCCTTGTGCGTTTGCATGGTACAGACCAAAATTAAGTCAGGTGAGAGAATTAAGAACCATTTTGGTCACCACAATGCAAATAGAAAAAAATAGTGAAATATTGTGGAATAATGAAATGAGAATGTTCTTATTTCTGCACTTTTACAATTTTGATTTGTGAAGATACACTGTCCTTTTATGGTCTTATTTCATATTTTAACTTAAAGAATAATCTGAACATGTCTGTAATGCGAATCATATTTTAAACTTGTTTACAGCTTTTATGGCAGTCAGTACAGGCACTGAGGAATAAGCTTGTCAGTCCTGGATGACCTTTTGGAAGGATGTCTTAATTGTAGCAGTTATTATTGTTTGGGGCTGAAAAGATCAAGAAGCGATTAATTATTTGTTTGTGGGCATGTAATAGAAAAATATATTCGTAGAATAGAGCTTGGTTTGGCTTCTATGGGAGTAAGTGGCAATATTCCAATTGATTTCTATGGACAAGATTTAGACTTGTAGCAAAAAATTACAGAAAGATTTAAGAGGTAATGAAGTCAATATTATCATGGTGAATAGCCCCTAAGGCAGCAATACAAATTGATGGAAGATTTTTTTCCCAACAATTTATATCTGGGTTGAACCAGATTCAAGATTTCTAGACTTTTGACTTGGTCGTAGGCTCAGCCAAGTTGATGTTAAAGATGCAGGCCTGAGCTCCAGCTATCAACACTTACGGTTCATGTTTTGTTCCCTCCTAATTTCATTTCAGAAGCTAAAAAAGTCCAAACAGAGCCAGGTAGTAAAAGGATGCCGGCTCACTTCTAGTCATCTAGTTACCATGAGCGGTACAGATGGATGTGAGCGTTAATTAGCACTGAGTTCCCCGAGGAACCGCAGGTAAGTGATCTTTTAAGTGATCTTACCGTGGGGGAGGCACAGGGTTCTGGAAAAGAGAGGAATCAAAAAATCTGTGTAAGCTTTTTTCCTTGTTTTACTAAGAGAAATGTAAAGAGTTTAGATTAAGCAGACATGCCTGTGTCAGCAGTCAAAGGGTTTATGTACTCTACAGCACATAACATCATACTTTAATATGCCATTTTAAAATCACTGAGGGGTAAAAGACGTCTACATAAACCATGAATGCAAATACGTGAGATAATATAGAACTGCAGATATGAATTCTCTTACCCTTTAGTTAGTGCTAGAAAAATTGCAGCTGGCTTTTAAAAATATATTCAATGGCAAAATGACCTGTAAAAATTTTGATGAAAGATTCTGCTTACCTGGTGTCCATCTATTTTCACTCTTTCTCCTAAAGAGAATTATTAGTAATTGTTAATAGAGTGCTGTCCATATAATTCACAAATAAAGGTATAGCTTTATTCTGGTATTGTTGTTATGATTATTATTGGCAATCCAGCCCCATCCTTCCCGCTCCTTGGCTCTACCTCCAGAACTCAGCTTCAAGGTCATGTTGCTGTCCCCACAGCATTCATCCTACCTATCACATCTGTATCTCCATAACTTTTCCTGCTATCGAATGGGAAGATTAATTTCTGTGAAGCTAGGGCTGGAAGCTTCGGCGGTTCAGTAGGAGGTTGTTATGTGGGGCAGTGAAGGCAAGTCACAGCCTAGACCTGAGGCGGGCCTAGACCTGAGGCGGAGGTCACTGAAGCTGGGATTGAGTGCATGTTTTCTCCGTTAGCTGTTCTGCACGTGAGGCCAGTGGGCTCTGCGTGAGGCTTATTGCACGTGGCGTGGATTTTGTTTGATCTGTACTTTATTTAGCCTTTTTTAAGGATGGATTCGCGGATGGATTCAGATGCAATTTGTAACTCATTCTCAACCATTTGTGCTTCTCTCCATATAAAACACAAGACTAAGTGTACTTAGATAATTATGGTGATCACAGAAGGGTTGAGAATCTTCTTGTGCTGTAGCCAAGTAAATCTTTTTTATATGAGTATCACTCACAAACATTCATTTCATAAAAGACATAACTAGGAAATAGTTAAAGCAGGAAAAGACAAGTACTTTTGTTTTTTTTCAGCTTAAAATATAAAATAAAGGAAATTAAAAAATCGTGATGCTACTTGATAAAACAGAGTGAACTTTGGTTTTATCTCTGGCTTTCGGAATGGAATATCTGAGGGTGATATTTATTCAGGTATTGTAAATTTAAATATTGTTCAGAGACTTTACATATATGCTTATTGAGTTGTTTGGGATGCATTTTTTGTTTTGATTTTTGTATAGAAATTTATAAAAATCTTGAAAAGCAATGAAAGTATATCTATTTTTTTTGTTTTCAAATTTACCAAAATATGACTGATTATTTAAATGAACATAGGACATCTTACTAATAAAAACCCCTATCTTACTCTATTTGCATTAGATTTTGATTTTGAAAATATTTTCATAAGTTCTACACACTGAAATCCTAACTAATGCAGAAAGACATGCAATATATCTTAAGTTCTCCTTCAAGCAAACCATAACAAATTGCTCTGAATAAAATAATGGTACCTTAAATGTTTACCAATTCTAGAAAATAACTGTTGACAAAAATTCTCCTGTGCTGTTCATGCCATCTTGTGGCAAAGCCACTTAATAGCACTGGGAATGAGAATAAATTAAGATACATTTAATAACAGTGTAGTTATTATCTAAAAATAATAGAGTCCTCTATAAGCACTCTTAGCTCAAGATGTACAAAAAATACATATAAATTGCATTCTCAAGCTGCAGAGTTTACCTGCCTGCACTGTCTTTTGTTCATCTTTCTTAACGTCAGCACACTTCTCATGGAGGCAGACAAATATGTAAATCCAACCTACTAAATCCTGGTGGAATTTGAAGCTTTATCTAAACTGGCAAACTGTCAGTGGGACCTTTCCTACCAATTTCTGCAGATTTTGAAGCTGGCTTACTCAAATTTCTCTCAATTCAGCTTTTTTACAAGCTACATCAGGATTTGCTCACAAGAGTGAGTCTAGCCTTTCATTTTGCAAACTTCATAGTGCTTACTTTCTCATAATCTGTAGGAATTATTTGGCTCTGTTTTGCATTATAGTATGAACTAATAGGAAAAAAACAAATTCTGTTTTGCATGGAATTCTTTGCGTTATTTTTCTGACTGATCAAATATAAATCTCTCTGAAAATCAGCTGTTACAGCAAACATAGAAAGGATCATATTTTTCTGGCTTGGCAACTGCATTCTTTTTGATTGTATTTGCATATAATTCATAGAGTTGAAAATGATAAGAGAAAAAATACCATTCCCTGTCAAGGTTAATCAGATATTTAATCCTTCAGTAGTTGACTTCATGAGATATTGCTACATCTAAAGTATATAAAATATAAAAAAAGTATATAGAAAAGTATATAGAAACCTACTTTTAAAATAATCTTATGATTGAGTAAAACCATAGATTAAAGGATTTAATAGTTGGACACCTCATTAGGTTCTTGAAGAATAAGATAGCAGTCTGTTTCCAATTTCACCACAAGAAACAAAACAGAACAAACAAAAATTAAAGGTACATTGGTGACTCAAAATCATAGGATTTTGAAGCAAATTTACAGGCAATGGTAAAGCAATGGAGAAAAAAAAAATGCTAGGTGATATACCATATAATTAGCATATTCTTAGTAGAAGAACATTGTCAGATAGCTTTTGTAAATAGTTACCCTAGGATGTAAATCCTTAGTAGGAATTGCTATAGTTGATATTACTGTTTAAAAATAGTTATTAGATTATGCTTTACAATATATTCATACAAAATGCCTGAGAAGGATAGGGAGCCAAAAAGCAAGAGAGCATGAGAAGGCGAAGTAAAGCATAGCAGGGATCTTGCAGCCTTTTGATGGAACAGTTCAGGAGACACAGGCTTCCCCCGCCCTTATGTCCTTATAATCGTAGGGAAAAGGAAAACCCGATTTTTAAATTGAATGGCTTCCCCCCCACACCCCTCCTTGAGGAACAGAGAACTCATGAGATAAAATGTATCTATCTCCTTTTGCAAAATAGTTACTTTGATGTTAGATAGTTGAAACAGTATTGCAAATGTTGTAATATGATTATTTTGGAAAGTGGCTGCTGTTTTGAAAACCATGTCTTTTCTATCATCTGCAGTCTCTGCTTATGTACAAAAGCTAAATATAGAAGCAACAATTTCTATTTTTGATTGCAGAAATGGGTAGGGTGTTTTATTATACCTCTAACACTTGGCACGCTCCTTCCCGCCAGAACAGGCATGTGTTTCTGTTAATAAAACAAAATAAAGATGTGATGTTAGTCATCATCCTTGAAACTACGGCTAGTAGAAACAGCGCTGCTCCTGACTGGGATGCCTCTGATGCTTGGTAGATCCCCGTCAGTCAACAAGTGAAAGCAAATGGCGAGGACATTGGTGCAAAGTGAAACAGGAACGGCTCACAGGAACTTGTGCGACCTTGTACGATTGAATGTTAATGTGGCTAAGACTTTAAATAGCCTGCACTTAACTTAAATGATATTACAGAAAAGGGGAAATCTGTTTTTGAACAGGGTTTAAGATCCTTACTTACAGCTGAGTGTTGAGGGGGCTGAGATGTGTGCTGGCTGTTCATTGGGGAAGTGGTACCTGAAGGCCTTAAATAACGTTTATCTGCAAAAGAGGAAGAAAAAGCAAGCCTGAGTAATTCAGTAATACTATGTTTTAAAAAGAAGAGGTTTTAATGTTCAAAATACGTTTTTCAGGTCAGATCTTGCCATTTTTATAGCATTTTATTTTTTTCCTTTTCAGAACTTAACCGTTATTTTAGTAGCTGTATTGAGGACGTAAGCATGACCCTGGTGATAGCTTTATGGTTAACCTCCTCAATGTCGTTCAAAAAAAAAGCCTCCATAAGCTGGTACACATTTGACCTAAACTGTGAATAGATTAGTGAATTTGTTTTTCATTTGAACCTTTTTTCTTGGCAACACTGTTGTGTGTTCTGGTTTTGCCAGGGCTGTTGGGGGCCTTACTCTCTAGAGAGCCTTTTAATTTTTACTTTAGCTTTTAATAAATACTGCACCCATGGGCATCTAAAAGAAATGCACAGGTTGTACACTAGCGTGTGTTTTCGAGTCATTAATTTTGTATCTTGAGGGCATTGTTATTTGTCTAGGAAAGATAGCAAAATGGGATGTTAGCGTTGAGTTTTGCCTTTCTGAAATACATTTTCAGACTTTCCTCACTCTTGTATCCTGCTACATTATAGTTACTGGGCATAACATACTGTGGTGGGTTGACCCTGGCTGGGGGCCGGGAGCCCACCAAAGCCGCTCTATCACTACCCTCCTCAGCTGGACAGGGGAGAGAAAATATAACGAGGCTCGTGGGGGTCGAGGTAAGGACAGGGAGAGATCACTCACCAGTTACCATAATGGGCAAAACAGACTCGACTTGGGAAAATTAGTTTAATTTATTACCAATCAAATCAGAGCAGGATAATGAAAAATAAAACCAAATCTTAAAAACACCTTCCCCCCACCCCTCCCTTCTTCCCGGGCTCAACTTCACTCCCGATTTTCTCTACCTCCTCCCCCCCAGCAGCGCAGGGGGACGGGGAATGGGGGTTGTGGTCAGTTCATC